TGGAACTGAAAATATGGGTGGAGGACCTCAGTTTAGCTTGTTTGTCACGCTAGCGCCGAGCTAATACATATAAGACAATATAGCGTAAATACTGAGGTGCTCATTGTTAAGGACCTAAATATTTTCAGATTATATAAGACTAAGTWTTTAGTTGAAGTACAAATACTTACTTGTCTGTATGTATTTGGATCCTTTGATCACTCATGCCAAGCAGACATGTAAGTTCTTAATTACTTATAGTGCAGTTATATACAAATCCAGCTAGAAATATTACAGAATTTTGGTCATTTTAACATGGCAGTGGTAGTGTGGTGAGTTATTGTTTTGGAGTTTGATTACATAAAATAATCCCATTACTTTTTTTGAACTAACCACACAACACTCAGAAGATGTTAACAATCTGTGYCTTCAGCATGTAAACAGTACACAGTTGAAGATATAGGCACTTAATAAAGTGTATCAACAAGGTACTTGTTAATACATTAAAGATATTTTTATTTTGATCCTGTAACACTTGAGGTGAAAGATATTGTTACCTTCCTTTAAAATCATTATTATCGATCTCTGAATTTATGAAGTCAACAACTTTTTTTCGCTACCTTGTACTTTTTGGGGTTTCACATGGCAACAAGCTGTCTTGTAATTGCTGCAGTAATTGTCTTTTCAGGAAATGTTTATCATCTCTTCTTATCTCACTGAGCATTCTTTGCCTCTGCTCCAATTTAAATGTCTTTTCTTAGTGAAATGTTTGATACACTTCAAGCAACCTGAATGTAAGAAACAACAGGGAAAAGAGATGCAGGAAGTCTCTGCAAGTCCGTCCCTTTCATGGAATAGAAGCAGATTTCGGTCCGTTAGAGGAGGGACTGTGGTCTAAACTTAGTTGTTTCCAGACCGGTGGACACTTGGAATGCAGGACTCTGAAAATTTGCAGGACAGATTTGTGCAGTAATTTACAACCATATCCCAAGGTGGAGAGCGTTGCCGCCTCACTGAAAGTGTTGCACGTTTCCCTCAATATACCTCAAAATGTAGTGCTAACTTGTCTACGACTTAAAGTTAATTTTCTCCCTCTGTTTTTCCTCCACAGATGGCTCCAGAGTGTGACCACAGAACCCTCTGCAGCAGAACCTATTTCTGAAGCTGAAGTGGACGAAGCCAAAGCCTCAAGCAAGCCAGGCACTTCGACCGCGCTCCTGCAGGACCGGCTACATCCAGGAACACGACTGCACAGTATTCCCCTCAACTTCTGCCTGTTTCCTTTGGCCCACTTTGCAGAGCAACACTACAAAGAGCAGTGATTATATTCCACTGAACTGTTTGGCACTGCTGTCTCTGAGCTTTTTTTATCAACAGAAATCACACAGTCTCAGGATCTCGGAGTAGCCTTTGCAAGTTTTTTTGTTTTGTTTTGTTTCCAGATCCAAGTTTTGCTCCTGAGATTTTTGGATTTGGAAACGGGAATCCAGTGACTGACTTGAGAGGTTTTAAAATCAATCTTTACCGTTTGACTCTTTGGGATCATGAATCTTCAAGAAAAGCTGTCAGGCCTCAAAGGTCTGGTCTCGCACTCCCACAGCAAGCGCCGTCACAAAAGCGACCTCACGGTGGACATGATCAGCCCCCCGCTCGGCGACTTCCGGCACACCATGCACGTGGGCCGTGGTGGAGACGTGTTCGGGGACACCTCCTTCCTGAGCAATCACGGCGGGACATCTGCTGGGAGTAACGGGGAGACGGATTTGGTGTCTTCCCCGGACAACAAGATCGGGGCGTTCTTTTCCAGAACGCTCAGGCAAATCAGGAGGGGCTCCGACAACCGCCCCAGAGAGGGATCGAAGGAGCTGTCCCCGCCGCCTCCGGCCATTTCTCCCATCATTAAGAACGCCATCTCCCTCCCCAGGCTGGACATGGACATGTCCAATGGAAGTCCCACCACCAAAATGCTTTTTGCCAGTTCCCAGAACACACCAGAGGAGAGGAAGAGCTCTTACGGTGAGCAGGAAGATATCTTTCTCTTAAAGACGCCAGTTATCTTCAGGAATCAAATGATTGTTATTGTCCACCACCGAAAAGAGAAGGTGGACAAAAATAATTTTTAATCCAAGATGGCTGCCACAGTCTACTCATTCTAGAAAACACAATAATTGACCATAATGTTGGCATTTCTACAAATAATGTTTTAAAACTTGGTGTAATTGTAGCAGAGCAACAATTACAATTATTACTGTCATCTCATTCTGCCCAGCATAGTCTGAGTGTCACTTGTCCAAGATCTTAAAACTATCGTCATCAGCTGTCTGTTATCAAAATATCTCATGAACAACTGGARTGATTTTAATGAACCTAACTATAACTGAGGTACAGTTGAAGGTGGCCTCCACAGCTAATCAAACTTAGGCATCACAAAAATGTCTCTAACTCAATCAGTTCTACAGATAAAGATTTGGTGTGCTGCTAGCTGAGTTATTCCCAACACATACATTGAGTTCAGGATCTTTGCTRAAACCTTTGGCATTAACTCTTGTTCTTTTTAACCATAAGTTCATCTTAGGTTTAAACCTTGACATGAAAAGCAGCAGGTAAAACCTTTAAAGGGCCAATKTTATCTGTTTCTCAGGCATATATTTAAATACTATACCACGATAAAGTATCTGTGTCACCTTTAGCTGTTATTAAAATGCTTTTTTATGTTAAAATAGAAAATAAACTTATCTTCTCGTCACTTCCTCTTCTAAACGCCTTGAAATTGGCCTCTGTCTCTTTAAGAACCGCCTTCTGCTTCTGTTCCATCCCATTTGGTGGGGGGGGGGGTCGCACTCTGGGGCTCATGCGTGCGTGCGTGGGGGTGGATGGGGGGGGTTGCGCGTGCGCCATGATGCAGTTTACTTGGCATCTGAAAATACATTTCCTCAAAGGTATTTTTAATCTGAAAAGAGCTTCACTGAATGAGAACTAATGTCGAGAGCTCAGCAGACAGTTAAGTTTCACTTTCACTTTCACCCAAGAGCCCAAGTATCCCTGACTGCAGACTGGATTAGGATACTAGACGGGGTCGGGCGTCCAGTGGGTGTGGTCATGGCTTGTAGGGAAGTTTGATAGGAGGCTTAAAACATTGGGCGTGGTTAATTTTAGTATTTAGCATCTGGGGTTGGTTAATTTTAGAGTTGAGGGCGGGGTCAGACGTCCGACCCCACCTGTTATCTGCCCSATGCCACGGTCTGCAGCCAAGGGTTACTCCAAGAGCCTGCAGGAGTCATGGGCGGGGTGTGTGGGGAGGGGGTGGGGTGCGCTCTGTCATGAGGAAYTTTGGCTTAAAGACACGTCTCAGGGGCGTTTCTGTTACCAAAAGGTGTTTCTGGTCCCCACCTGTCGTTTTGCAACTCAGCATGGCTTCCTAAAAACGCTGCAGGATTTCTCAAACATGCATGAATGAGTCAGAACAAGGCTTTAGACATGTTTTTATGAGAGTATAACATTATAACATGATATAAAACTAAAAAAAGTTGATTTTACATGATGTTGCCCCTTTAAGGAATGCCAGGGTATTAATTAAGTAGGTTTTATTTTCATAAATCTGAAGAGAAAAAACAACACAACAGTAAGAATCTGTAGATTCCTCCCCACACTGTCATCTCGTTCTGCCCAGTTATTTTAGGATTAAGTGAAGAACATCGCTAAATCCCTAAATGGTCCCAAAGCTCAGCTACAGACGTTTTRGCTCAAATGAAACAGCAGAGATCCRGAACAAAATGAAAGACGAGGACAAAGGTCAAATGAGTTAAGCTGTGTTAAATGACAACTACAGAAGAAAACAACTGTCTGCAGCTCAGCGCTGACAGTTGGACAGAAGGTCTGCTCTGTAATCTGAGGAGACGTTAGTCCCAGATGAATCAGCTGGGCTCATAATGAGCAGTGAACTGATGACACCCAGAGATCCAGACYGTTCTGACAGAAACTGATTCAGTGACCCGTGTTAACGCCACACTCAAGACTCATGTAGTTCCACCTTGACTGGGTTCAGTAATTGTAAACTTCATTTTTTACTTTTTATYTGCTTGAAGGGTTGCATTATGTTGTGTGGGGCAAGTTGTATGTTCTTCCTTCATCAGTCCATCAGTCTATTAGCAGTTTCCTTTTCAGCTCAGTAGTCGGTACTGTAACCTCCCAGCCAGAAGGTCCTGGGTTCAATCCCTTCTGACCTGGGGTCTTTCTTTGTGGAGTTTGTATGTTGTTTTTGTGTTTGTGTGGGCTTCCTCCCACAGTCCAAAGAACTTCATACATGTTTGGCTGCCTTCAGGCTAGAATTTAGATTTATAGTTCAAGCCCAACCYGAAATTTGGGTTGGGTCGCACTGAATATACATGCTTGATGATCAGGTTGAGTCGGATCAGGTCCGTTAGGACTCGGACTCAAGCTTCTGTGACGTGTTTTTAATATGCCAACCATCAGTGACGGCTGGTATAAGTGGGCTAGTAGGGCTAAGCCCTCCCTGGTGTTCAC